TCAATTTATGAGAAAACATGGTTTGAAAGTCTCAAGATGATCGTAAATATTAGGTGTCACGAAATATCTCACTTTCTCCCACAATTGTTTATCAATGTGGAGCTTAATTAAGCTCTTTGAAACAGTATCTGGAAAATGATTGTTCTACGAGACGCCAATTTTGTCCCAGTAGATATATATAACCTGTGACAAGCTCTGGAATCTGTATAACTATTTCAATTCCCATAAAACATAACAAATCAATCCAAACTGCTCACTTACATAACCAACTGGTAAAAATGTCTTCCATAGAACTTCTGCTGAACATACATCATCCACATTGCTCCACTGATAATAATATGGGCGACCAAATGGGTAAAACAAGTCAATCTATCACCAGGGTTATAATTCATCCAAAGATATTCAAAGCCATAACAGAATACAGTCTGTGCTATGCTGATGTGACACATATCTTACTATTCCTAGCGAACGGCTCAGTGCCATAACATTGCATTGATGCCCTGTTTAGGTTGTCCCGCGATTTGTCAAGTTTAGATACCAGTCAAGGCGAAAACTAGCTTGCGTATGACAGAGCATCTTGACTTCTAAATGTGGACCAGTACAACCGAAAGATGAATATACTTTATGATTTGAGAAGAATGTGATCCTTTATAGGAACACATTTTCCATAAAGCCAGCTAGATCTGATCTATATGTTATCAGTGGGTGGTTGCATGAAGAAGCAATGCTACCAAGCCAATGGGCAAAATGTTGCAATGTGATGATGCCTATGTAGGTGCCAACACAAAGGCATTTTCCTCTGTCCAAATCTCACGTGATTGGTCGCTGAGCTGCTGGTGCTATGTCGTATAACTTATTGACCATGCAAAGGATAAAAAGAAGGGTAGAACTCTGTGTCAACTGTCGTGATTCTAGTCTTTTATTTTTTTCTGTTATTATTTGAAACTGCAGTTTGATCTCGTAATTCTTTTCATGTTGTATTAGCTACGCAATAAAAAAAAAAAAAAGTAATTAAAAGAATGACAAAAGGAAAAAGGCATGTATTCAAAACCTTTCTTGTAGATTTCAGCAGGGCATAGCTACTACCAAGCGAGCAACTCACATACCAATAAAACTGAGCTTTTATTCACTGGACAACAGCGCCATCTTCAGGCTCAATTACAACTGAAATTCTGATGAAGGAATCTTTCGAGTAGACAAGTAATCGAGTTAGATAAAATTAAACTGATCCCCCAAATAGTGCTGGATTTTCATTTATAAAATGAAGAATTATTTACGTATATTAGGTTTAAGGATTATATAGATCAAAATAGTAATCTTAATGACATAGAGGGTACCAGGGTTCCATGTGTTTGCATATGAGCCAGTGGATAAGGTTGTTTCATAGTCCATGGGGGCTTTGTTAAAGCTAAACGCTCCTAACTATTCTTGCATGTCGAAAATGGGAAAAGGATCTAAGATTAAAATGAATAGAGAGGTGTGGCATTTAGCCCTTTCCAAAACTTGTAATTTAGTTTAAATTTAACATACATTTTATTTAAAGTAACAAATAGATGATATGTGGTCCTGTCCAGATTGGCTAAAATGTATAACACTATCTCTCCAATATGCTGGAGATATAATAAGCAACTCTGTTATTTTACCCATATCTGGTGGGATTGTGATATAGTTAAATCAATTTGGAAGGAGGTTTTTGTAGAATTAGAGTTAATTCTAAATAAATCTATTCCTAAAGCCCTGGGGAATTCTATTTTACATTTGAACATCACACACCTTTAAAAGAAAGTTGCTTTTATATATATCCACTTTATAATTGCAGTCAAAACTCTCATTGCCCGTAATTGGAAATCTTTTAAATCTTTCACACTTGCGTACGTGAAATCACATGCGCTCCTTCAGTTAAATATGAAAGCACAATAATATAAGTCTTAAAGGTTAGATTCCAGGAAGCTTTATTTGTGTGATTTATGGATTAAAAAAAGAAGTTACTGATCTCTCTTTAATCCGGACTTATTTTTTCTATGCTGATCAATTTCCACCAAACACTAGTCATTGGCGGTGTGTGTTGTGTTGTGTTATTTTCTATTTTGAACAGGTGAGAATGTGTTTTTTCTTTTTTTGTATTTGTTTTAAAATATAAGAATTACTAATAAAATTAAAGAAAGAAAGAAAGAAATACTGATGAATGTACACCAACAATAATTTACACAAAGCTAGCAATTAGGAGCACAGCAGATTCATTAAACATGAACTTGTGTATTCCATCACACTGACACCTACGCACTGTTTCTTATAGGGAACAAAACAGGGTTACTACAGGACTGCATCAAGGCTAAGGTAGTATAAAGAAAAACAAAAGTAAATTAACTCCTAAAGGGCAGAGAACTGAGCAGTGGGACTGCAGGAGCATGATCTATACACCAAAACCACTTCATTAAGCCAAAGATGTCTTGGTGCCTATAGTGGTCCTTTAAGCAAAAACGGCTGAACTGTGACTGTAACCGAATTGGAGAATTCTTATAGATCAGCTATTTTGGCCAAAATGTTGCCATATGGTTTTCAGTTAGGTCTGCCTAATACACACATACTGCTTAATGCGTACATCCATACACACATGTTGCTTAATACCTACATCCATACACATATACTGCCTTATACATGCATCCATATACATATACTGCCTAATTATTAAGGCAGTATGTGTGTTTATGGATGTAGATTTTAGGACCTAATACATCCAGCCATAAACACACATACTGCCTAATACCTACATCCATAAACACACATACTGCCTAAGACATGCATCCATACACATACACACATACTGCCTAAGACATGCATCCATACACACATACTGGCTAATACATACAATGTACAATGAATTGTGACAGAGTGTTGGGGATGGTGGTCAAGGGTGTATATCTGGCACCCAGACTTTTGCGCAGCCACTATCCTGACGTGGTTAAGCACATGCAGCCCCAGGGAAAGGTTAAATGTAGGTTCTTTTCTCTGTTGTTATTTGGGTCCCTGGGTGGAGTATTCAGAAGAGCAGGGTGGGCCATTCTCCACCCCCTGTCAGAGTGGCTGTGCATGAGTCCAGCCCAGGTTTTCTAAGGAGTTCTGACTCACTGCCTGAGGAGGTCATTAGCCTCACCTGTAGGGGCTGTGAGCAGCTATATAACTGCAGTTAACTCCTTAAGGACACAGCTTCAGAAGCTGGACATACCCTTAAGGACACAAGCAATTTTTGCATCTTTTGCTGTTTGTGTTCAAATGCAATTTGCATCTCTCTCATTTATTGTACTAACACATATTATATACCGTTTTTTAGACAACAAAAAGGGCTTTAATTTGCTGTGACATACACATATATAAATTCTCATTTATTACCAAAAAAATGCAAAATAATGTGGAAAAAAACAAAAGAAAATGCTCTTCCGCCCAAGTTTTGGCAATAATAATGTGTGCATAATATGTCCAGCTTAGGAAAAGTAATTCAAAATCAATTCATTTATGTGTCTTGATTTACAAAGTACATAATATGTGTAGGATTTCAGTTTATTTTGAACGTTACAGGTCACAAACTACAAGGTCTAAACTAAAATTTCAATGTGAAACAATTTTAGAAGTTGGTATGTTTATCTTGGAAGTTTAATACCCATTACAGGAAACAAAATTGACACACAAAAGTATATATTTATATAAAGAAGACATCACAGGCTATTTACCTAAGGTTAGTTTGACATTTTTTGCGCAGCCATTTCACCGCCAATCTCTGCTAATTATTGGAGTAAAATTGTATTTCTTCTCTATTTTGGCATATACACATATTACAAGGTTTTTGTAATGTGTATTTCGTAAAACCTAATGTGTGCTATCCCTGTACAGAACCCCATATTGTGTTCAGCTACATCTGCTGAGTAAAACGATACCCCCATTGTATACCTTTGCCCCTCTTCTGTGAAGCTACATATAGGAGACCATGCTATTTCAGTTTCTATAGTTGGAATTTTCATAGATGGTCATATGTCTGATTTTGTGGCATTGTAGCCATTTGACTGTTCAAATAACCCCACAAAGGCCTTCCATTTGAGGAAGCAGACACTCCAGGGTATGTTATTAGGCATATATTATACCTTAACTTGCCACCATTTTTTCACCAATTAATTTCAAATTTTGTAGTGAGAAAGAAAAATTTAACTTTTTTACATACATGTTGCATTTTCGCTGGGTATTTCTTACATTTGATAAGTGCCACTGTCATAAATTCCCCCTAAGTATGCCTTGTTACCTCTTCTGAGTAAAACAATAAGCCCAATGTATGACCTAGACACTATTTTGTGAAGTTACAGTGCTGTGAAAGAGACGTGACAAGTTCAGGTTTTTAAGTGTGAATTTACATGGAGTTTTAATGGGTCCGTATTCTATTTTTAAATATGTTAGCAGGCTGCTTTTTCCAACTACCCCAAAAAGGCTTACTATTTCTTAAAGAAGACGCCCAAGGGTATTTCAAAAGGCAAATTTTGAACCTTAGCGTGGGATAATTGTATCAAATTTAGTGATAATAAGCATTTTTTCTGCTTTTTTGACACAAATAGTGAGTTTTTACTGTGTATTTTGCAAACCTTATGTGTGATACGGCTATATAATACGTCCTATCTTGCTCAGCTATGTCGTCTGAGCACAGCAATACCCCCATATGTACCTTTGCCAGGTATATGCGGACATTGAAGGGGCACATTTGAGACACAGCCATTTAAGTTTTTTCAAACTTTACATTTTTACACTGTGTCCATACCCCACTTTGGAGTTTTTTTTTTGTAGGTTAATTATTCCAGCTACCCCATAAAGGCATACCATTTCTTAAAGAAGACACCCTAGGGTTAGTGATGTCCCGAACGGTTCACCGAACGGTTCGCCACAGATGGCGAACATATGCGCTGTTCGGTCCGCCCCTATGTCATCATTGAGTAAACTTTGACCCTGTACCTCACAGTCAGCAGACACATTCCAGCCAATCAGCAGCAGACCCTCCCTCCCAGACCCTCCCACCTCCTGGACAGCATCCATTTTACATTCATTGTGAAGCTGCATTCTTAGTGAGCTGTCCATGAGGTGGGAGGGTCTGGGAGGGAGGGTCTGCTGCTGATTGGCTGGAATGTGTCTGCTGAATGTGAGGTACAGGGTCAAAGTTTACTCAATGATGACGAATAGGGGGCGGACCGAACAGCGCATATGTTCGCCATCCGCGCGAACCGTTCGACGAACCGTTTGGGACATCACTACCTAGGGTATTTCAAAAGACGTATTTTGAACCTTAGCGTGGAATAATTTTTCCGCTAGCTTGTACCAAGTGTAGTGGTAATAACCATTTTTTCTGCTTTTTTGACACACATAGTGAGTTTGTACTGTATATTTTGCAAACTTTATGTGTGCTACGGCTATATAATACTTCCTATATTGCTCAGCTATGTTGTCTGAGCACAGAAATACCCCCATATGTACCTTTGCCAGGTATATGCAGACATTGAAGGAGCACATTTGAGACACAGCCATTTAAGTTTTTTCAAACTTTAAATTTTTATGCTGTGTCCATATCCCACTCTGGAGGTTTTTTTGTAGGTTAATTATTCCAGCTACCCCATAAATACATACCATTTCTTAAAGAAGACACCCTAGAGTATTTCAAAAGACGTGTTTTGAGCCTTAGCGTGAAATAATTTTCCCGCTAGCTTATACCAAGTGTAGTGGTAATAAGCATTTTTCATGCCTTTTTGACATACTCAATGAGTTTGTAATATATATTTTGCAAACCTTACATGTGCTACAGCAGTATAATATATCATATGTTGCTCCGCTATGTCATCTGAGTACAGCAATACCCCCGTATGTACCTTTACCGGGTATATGACAACGTTGAAGGGGCACATTCGAGACACAGCCATTTAAGTTAGAATTTTTATGCTGTTTCCATGCCCCACTTTGGAATTTTTTTAATAGGTTGTGTTTTCCAATTACTTCACAAAGGCATACCATTTCCTAAAGAAGACACCCCATGGTGTTTCAAAAGGCATATTTAAACCTTAGCGTGGTATCATTTTTTTTGCTAGCCTGTACCAAGTGTAGAGGTAATACGCATTTCCCCCCTTTTTTAAACATTTTTTAAAAACTTTGTAAAAGTTTTATTTAGCTTTTAACAACTTATTTTACTATTTTAAAACTTTGTTTAAACTTCAAAAAGTTTTTTCACTTTTAATTGTTTTTTTTTTTTACTTTTAACCCCTAACTAGCCTAACCGTAAATACCCAATTTCCCCACTTACTTCTACCCACCCTAGCTGTATAAATAAATATTTTAAAATATTTAAATTAATTAAATACATTTAACCCCTGAGGATTAAAAAAAATAAAAGTTAACCCTCAGGGGTTAAAAAAAAAAAAAATCAGATCACAGTGAAATACTGTGATCTGTATTTTGATCACTGCAGGCAGTGATCAAATGGCAGGCAAGGGGTTAAATTTTATTTGAAAGAGGTGAGGGGGGGTGGGATTTTGTAACTAACTGTTTTTTTTTACAGGGAGAGATAGATCAGCACCGATCTGTCTCTCTGCAGTTCACAGTTCACACGGAGCTGCAGGGAAACAGATCGGGTTGCACTGCAGCACGTGTGATCGCTCTGACTCCCGGTCAGAGCGATCACATGGGCTGAATCAGTGAAACTGCCCATGGTAGTGTGCCTCCGACACAGAGACACACTACAGGAAGATTAACCCCACGATTGCCGCGATTGTGACAATCGGGTTAATTTTCATTTTGGACGGAAAATTTCCGTCCAGCATCCTTAAGGGGAGTGCTGCAATGATGGAAAATTTCCGTCCAGCGTCCTTAAGGGGTTAAAGCAGGGTGGAGTGAAGGAAGTGTTTTGAGGAGAAAGAAGGTTTTGCTGCTTGGTGTAACCTGTTGTATCCTGTTACTTCTTACCAACAGAAAATAAACAGGCCAGAGGCCTTTGAAACTAGACTTTGTCTTAGCCTGGCTTCCTTACCCTAGAGGGCTGTGCCAAAAGATCCTGGACAAACACACACAGGGAAGTAAGTTTGTCACATATGGTGGAGAATGCAGGCACTGCACTGAAGAAGCCTGTGGGTATTAACTGGAAGCCAAACAAGGAATATGGAGGAAGTTGTGAAAGCTTTGTTGCAAACTACAGCGGCACAGCAAAAGTCTACAGCCGTATAGCAGGAGGCCACAGCCGCACAACAGGAAAATTTTGTAGCCCTACAGCAACTGGTAATCACACAAAAGGTCAACACAGATGCCATGATCGAGCAGGTTGTGGCAGCCCAAGCTGAGGCTAACCACCTGCTCAGAGAGGAGCAACATCAGGCCTCCAGCATGATACAGAAGGAGATGCAGACTTTGACCAAGGGACTAACCAGAGTGTCGGATGGGACGCAGTCCGAGGTTAAGATGATCAGAGCCAGCCATTACCTGCAGAAGATGACACCTACTGATGATGTGGAAGCATACCTTCTAGCTTTTGAGAGGACAGATGAGAGAGAAGAGTGGCCAGTGAGTGAGTGGGCAAGCATACTGCCACCTTTTCTTATTGGAGAACCCCAGAAGGCTTTCTATGACCTGGAACCAGCACAGTCAGGGGTCTACTCCAACAAAACAAACATAAACACCACAAACTCAGTGCTCTGATAGTGTACGTTACTTAACTTCAATTAGTATGCAGCCTCCCAAGATCGTTATCCACAACAAACGATCTTTACATATGCATAGAACCACAAACAAAGTTTGGGATACGGCTGTATAATCTATGGAGGGAACATACAAAAAAACAAAATAGTGTAATACAGTATATACAGTGGATCGTGCGCTTTAAATGAATGCACTCACAAGATGATGAAAAGAAGAGCGTTCATAAGGTGCCCCCCCTGATAGTATGGGGGGCTAGTGGTTCCCCTTGCCAATGCGAAGCAGCCAATGGAACACGGGACTCCAGGTAAGTAATAATCAAAGATCCAATAATTTTATTTTCTTTAAAAGGTGAAATACACCATAAAGATAAAAATTAAAAATGCAGGAGTAGGTCCAACGTGTTTCGTTCAAACTAGAACTTCCTCAGGGACCGCACAATAAAAATTAACATACAATATCACAAATTGTAAAATAATGCATCCTACTCCCCCCTTAACATAATCCCTATAAATAGGGCTAGTCCCAGTGTCCCATTGGTCCATACTGTAGGAGTTTTCCAATAGCCAGCTCTTCATTGGTCCTGGGATAACTCCTTCCAGCTGATAATATTTTCGGCACTTGTATAATTCAAATTTGGGCGCGTTCAGTGAAAAAGACGAAACCGGAAGTAGACATGATCTTTTACTTCTGCGTTCCAAATGCGTTCCAAGTGCGTTCCATCTCTCTATCTTAACCACATCAACAAGGGGCAAGAGTACAAGTGATCCCACAAACGGCTATGTAGCCAAAAAATAACAAATTAACTTAATACAGTTAATCTCTAAATTAAAAAAGAGAAATGGGTTAGTATCTTAAATATAAACAACTAGAGTATCAAAATAGCCACTGCAAAACTTAGGCATATATTTTATAAGTGTATATTTCCATAACCTGCACCATTTCATAATGGGATAACTTATTGACCCTATTGCCCCCACGCCAGAATGGAAGAATATGTTCAATGCCCACACAACTAAATTCTTTAAATGAAAAAAGGGGACAGTTGCTACAATGGGCCGATACCGAATGGGTAACCAGTCCCTTACGAATGTTGTTTAAATGTTCCAAAATTCTAACCTTCAGGGTACGTTTTGTTCGACCCACATATTGTTTGTCACACGGACACTGCAGTAGATATACTACATGGTCCGTGTGGCAGCCTATCTCCATTTTGATCTTAAATGTTTCCCCTGTAATTATACTGGTAAATTCCTTAATTCTCCCCATAAGGGCAGTGGCACAAGCTTTACATGAAGCACATCCCCTAAAGCAACCTGAAACAAGGGTTCTATTTGATCTATTTGTCTTAATAGCATAGCTAGGGGCTAGCATATTTTTAAAGTTTTTATTCTTTTTGAAAATCACCATCGGATGTTCAGACAAGGAATTGCCCAAAATTGGGTCCTGTTGTAAAATGGGCCAAAAATCACTAAGGCTCCTTTTGAACTTAAAATGGTCAATATTATACTGGGTGACAAAAGCTGATTTAAAATTGATGTTCCCCACAGTCTCAGGGACTTTGTCCTCCAAAAGCTTGCTACGTTCAAGAAGGCCAATAGATCGAATTTCTTTTTCTAAAGTGTACTTATTATAGCCCCTTGCACACAGTTTATTTTTTATGTGGGAAGATTGAGTCTGAAAATCTTGAGAACGAGAACAATTGTGCCTAAGTCTGATGAATTGACTTCGTGGTATACCCCTAAGCCAAGGCTTATGGTGGCAGCTTCGTTGATGTACAAAGCCGTTACCATCCGTTGGTTTAAAAAAACATTTAGTTTGAATTTGGCCCTGGTCACAAAAAATTTCCAGATCCAAAAAGTGGATCTCAATCTTATTCCACTCCGGGGTGAATATTAAATTGTATAGATTGGAGTTGAGGTATTGAGCATATTCAAAGAAACTGGTTGAAAACCCCTTCCAAATGATGATCACATCATCGATATAACGCCGCCAGAGCACCAGGTTCTCCCATCACTCATGCCCCGACCACACAAATAATTCCCCCCATCTCCTCATGTAGGTGTTGGCATAACTGGGGGTGAACCTGGTGCCCATGGCGGTCCCTGTGATCTGGAGATAATATTGATCATTAAAAAAGAAAAAATTATGTTCCAAAATAAACTTAACTGAGGTCAATATAAATTCTCTATGACCCTGAGATAAATCCAAATCTTGGGACATATAGTAATCAAGAGCCTCCAGTCCTAGTCTATGACTAATTACCGTATACAGTGAGGTCACGTCCAGCGTGGCCCAACTGTATTCGGAATCCCATTCTATACTGTCTAATTCTTGCAGGAAAGACTTGGTATCACGTATGAATGAGGGTGCCCCCTGAGCATATTTTTGAAGGAACGAGTCCACATAAGCAGACAAATTAGCAGTAAGAGAATTGACTCCACTAATAATAGGACGACCCGGT